TAATTGCTATAGATTTCTAGGCCTGCTACTAGCTACTTTATCAGACTGAAGAAATGGTTCCTGTAATCTCTTATCCTCAGTCCCAGTGGACAGTACAAGGTATTTTCTCCAAAACAGAGAAGGCAGTCCAGTTCCATTATATGTTGTAAAATGTTGCAGTGCCGTCCATTTTAGCTGCAGTTGTCAGTTTACTGGACAGCATTCTGGGAGTTAGGAAAGAATAAAATGGCAAGCAGAGGATTTACTAGTGTTTTCATATTTCATGATTTAAAGGGGGAACACTATTGGCAAATGGAGTATTTTGGGACCTTTAAGCACCAGAAAAGAATTTCAGGCCAAGAGAAGGTAGTGTATTAAGCCCGAGCTCATTAAAATTCTACTGCGTCTGACTGACCATCACATGACAGAGCAGTCTGCTCAGAATGTCTCCAGCATTGGTTCTGTGACCTCCCAGAGCTTCATACAGCAATTGGCTTGAGTGGAGCAAGCCACTCTGCTTCTGGGAAGAGAAGAGTTCTGGGCAGTAGCACAAATCCTAAAATATTGATGTAGCCACTCCTAAAGTATTGCAATATTATATACTTATATGCTGTATATCATTCAGGCTGTTTTCATTGCCCAGAAATCGTTATGCTGAACCTATAGGTTGTCAATCAAGTTAATTTTGGTAACTGCAAAGTAGAGTTTGCCTTTGTGGACATTTATATCGGGCATGTATATATAATTATATAATATACTTATTCAGTGGATATAAAAGATTAAAAAGTTACTGTCTTTCATATTTAGTGCTTCCCTTAAATCATGTATAGATAGTCACCCAAGTGTACACGAATGGAAGCTCCATGTGACTCTTCTCTTTAAATGCATATGTTGCAGGTGCAGTGGTAGTAAGGACTATGAAGTATCCCATATTAGCTTGTACTGCATGAAGTTGCCATTCTTGAAAGTCAAAGATGGTCAAATATTGACAATTTCACTTGGTTCAACCTAATAGTATTGTATCAACTGTGCTATGGTTTAGAAGGGCACCAAGTCGTTAAAGCAAATTATATAAATCAGAACCCAAATTAACAACAACTGAGTAAGAGAGAGAAATGGCGTTAAGGAAAGTAAAGCTAATGAGTGATGTATACTGAGTTCTATACTGCGGCGGTAGAAGTGAGGTGTGATCCTCATCACTGTATTGGCAGACAGTATTTTGATCAACAGATTTTTCACTCTCTGAACACTGTATTTTATGTCTAGGATTATATAAATCCTTACAGATAAGTTCTTTCACATTTGCTTACGTGGTTGCCTTCCTGACATACCTAACACAGCCGACTTTTATTTCTAAGCTCTTTGCTGCCTTTCTGACTTTTAAGTCAAGGTGACTGCCCCTTGGTGATACTGTATATTAGGGCCTAAGGTGGCGCTTTTGTTTTATACTTAATGACAATCTTGCCTGAAAAGATGATACTAGAAATTACCTCATCCATCTTTGAGGTTATGCATTTTCCATTGGTCTACCTGTATATCCTGATATTTTCTAAAAATGGGGGTCACTGAGTTCTTTCATTTCTGTGAATGAAATTGTAATTAGTTTGATATTATTTTAAATAATCTTCATTCTTGTGGTAAGGTATACTTGTTCTTTTGCGAGTTGAGCTATGGATAGTGAGTATCCATTAATAAAACAGCAGCTAGTTGACATGTTAGTTTTTCAATTTCTAGTGGAAGTTGGATTTTGGGTTGTTCTGTCGACCTCAGGGAAAGTGCTATGGACGTTAGATAGACCCCAGTGCCATCTCGCTGGCGATAAGCAGTCATTTTTTCCTGTGATCTAGAAATGAATTCATTTAAAAATTTTCATTGGCACGTAGTCCGATTCCACCTTGCCATGGTTCACTATATTTAAATTACAATGAACCATCCAGAGAACTGTTTAGCAATGATTCACAGCTTTCCATTTAAAGTGCAGTAATGCAATGTTTATTAAGTTAATGGATTGATAAATTTATAGAACTGTTATCTTGAATGTGAAAATGCAAAGACTGATTTTTAATGCAGTATAGTTTTCAAAACCTCAACTATTATGAAGCTATTAATTAGGAGTGTTTTACACTTAATCGCTTCCAAACTTGGTAACAACATTAGCCCAACTTTTGGGGCAATGATGTGTTTTCTGTGGCCTTTTGATTCCAAGATACTCAGATGATTTTGTGTGGGACATTATCATGTTTTTACAATACATGCCCATGTGGAAAGTAGAGATTGGCAGTTATTCCTGCCTCCTACAAATGGAAACCAAGATAAGTAATGCAGTTCATTCCTGGCAGAAAGGAGTAATCTAGTATGCAGAGTCTTTTGCTCTCAATTATGATTATTAAGTGACTGTGTGAAAGTTCATGTTTGAATATATTATCTTACTGAAGAAACTTCACTTTCAAATATCTTTTTTTTAGCTTCTTCTCTCAAAATGCCAGAATCTTTGTAGTGTGATCATCTCCAGATGAGTTAATTATAAAATGTTAAAATTCTTAAATTTTTTTGTAGAACAGTAGGAGGATTGGAAGGGATGAAGCAGGTTGAAGTAAATATTAGAGCAAATATTCTGAATGCAGAAAATTGACCTGAAGCAATTTACAAGCAGAATAAGAAAGTATAAGATATTCTCACAGATACTGAAGGATAAGTATGGCTTAGGGAATATGTAGAAGGCAAAACTCATGAAAAAAGGACTGAAAGTTAAAATTAAACCTAAAATATAAGAAATATCCAAAACAATTAAGAAACTCCTACATTGTATTAATAACATTTTTGATTATCGATAATTTTAACAGATATTCTTGTTAAGGATTTCTACTTCATTTTTAACTATTTTTATTCTAATGGATTTAGAGATACAAATGTTATTGCCTTAAGAACTTATAATTCAAGACATAATCTGTTTTATATTTAGTGGTAATGATACATACTTGAAATTTTATTTATATATATTATATGAAATCATACAAGTGTTAAAAGAAAACTAATCTGATGTGGAAACACCTCAGCACAGTGGATTGAAACAGAAACACATCAATTTATTTTGGTCCAAGAGTTGAAAATGATACTGGGGAGAAAAGAGTCACAAACCTCAGTGTCACTTTTGAATGATGCTGAGAAATTAACTTGTTATTTTGAAAACTGGTAAATAAAGGGAAATAAACATTTATCTTGGTTTTTTTATACAAATACACTTCAGCATAATCAAATGGTTGATGAGAAAATTATTCTTTATAACAGTATTATAGCTAATAAATGAAGAAGGGATGAGAGGATATCACCATTTTGTCACCCTAATCAGTTAATGGACCTGGACAATTATTCCTAATATCACCAAAAAAAGAGACAGCTGAACATTATATACTTCTTGATGGAAGTACATAACAGCATCTAAGAAATAGTAAAAAAAAAAAAAAAAAAAAGTTGCAAACCTGAATCTGTTCAGCCAATTTATAGGAAATACAGAGGTCAGAAGAACACTTTAAATGTCGCCATAGGGATATAATCAGCAGGATCCAGATTTTAGAAAACTCAATGGGACAAAAGAATCGATTTCTTCCAAGATGGGCGCTGGGGGAGGGGCTTGGAGTGGCAAACTGTAGATTAAGAGATTTCAGAGACACATTTGAATTATGATTGGAAGAGACAAATGTAAATAAGTGAAGGAAAGAAAGAAAAAGAAAAAGAGGGAGAGTTCAAGGGGGGACAGAAAGAAAATCAATGTGAAGGCTGGCCATTTGATGATATTAAGGAATTATTGATAATTTTGTTTAGGTGTGATAATAGTATTGTAATTATGTTTTTTAAAAGTTCCAATCTTTTATACATATATACAGAAATATTTGTAGATGAGATTTGCTGCGAAGTAGCTCAAGGTGTTGGGGAGGGTGAGTGAGGGTATAGATGAAACAAAATTGGCCAGGAGTTCAAAACTGTTGAAGCTGGATGATAGTTATACCAAGATTTATTATACTTTTCTTTCTACTTTTGTGTATGTTTGAAATTTTATGTAATAAAAACGTCTAACAATGGAACTGGCTGTTCCACAGAGTAGTGAGCTCTATGCCACTGGACTCTGTGATCTGAATCTGTAGGTCTGCAGTGGGGCCACAAATTTGTGTTTTCATTAAGCTTACCAGGTGATTCTAAATATCAACCAGTGTTAGAAACCTCCGGGCCAGATCAGCTGTAAAGTCCCTTCTATTTCTGAGCTTTCTAAGCCTATATTTCTTTGAATGGTATGAACAAGATGTGCTCCAGAAGTTCAGGGACAAAATAGTTGAAGTGACCAGCAAAGCCTTGGTAAATTAAGTGAAATTTAACTGAGACCTTGAAAGGTAATTTAAATGTGGACAATGGAACATAAATCAAATCCATTCATTCATTCCGCAGATATTTTTAATGCTTCCTCAGTGCCAGATAGTGTGCCAAGCACTGGGATATGGTTATGGTCAAAACAGTTATGGTGATAATAATTTTGAACCTCATTTATTATGGAGGCTTTCTTTGTGTTACCATAGAGGGAATGCTGGTTTTGGGACTGGAGCTTTGGCTTCTGGACCTGCTATAGCACTTGCTCTTTAATTTAGAGTAAGCCACGTAACCTCTCTGAGCTTCTGCTTTCTGATCTATCATAATGAGAAGGTTGGACCATTCTCGCTCTTGACTTTTATAAAAATATGACGCATGAAGATATTTTGCTCTATAACTTTCACTGTATATATGGATGGTGTGGTATGTGGGACTAAAATTTTTTTTTTTTTTACCCTATCTGTAATCAGGGTGGGGTAGGTGGGGTATTTTCTCTTTTTCCTGCCTCTGTAATATAGTTCTATAAACAGACATTTAAGCTAGCATAATTAGATTCTCTCTATAAACTGAAACAGCTCTGGTCTTAAGCTCATTTACTGTCTTACAACAGAATTGATCTTGCTTTCACATTTGAGTCACCCTCTACAGATTTGGAGAGAAAGAAAAATTAGCATTGCTAGCTCAGTTTAACTAGGCCAGAGTTAACGGGCAAAGGTTGGAAGAACCAGTGGTTACAATATTTGTTTGCCTTGCGCTGTCTTCTTTTATGTGTTAATATATGTAGATCATTCAGGTGAACAATTTCGTCCATCTTCAGGAGCTTGGCCAGTGAGGATTTTCACTGTTCATACATGTGAAAATGATTTAGCACTTACTTGATTGTCATGAACCCAATTTATAGTTTCTGGGATTACCAGAAGAAAAACAGTATGATATATTTCGTTTGCAATGTTAAACATAAAATCCCTTTGCAGATATCACCTTAAGTCTGGAATATGACATAGCCTATTACTTTTAAATAAATATTATACATAATATAATGGACAGAATAGAGGATTTCAAGTCAGGTAAACCTTATCTTGGCATTACTAACAGTATCATCTAGAATAAGTTATTTAAGGTTTCTGAGAACAGTTTTCCTCATCCTCATAATTGAAACTAATGTCATATTCGGCACGGGGCTGTTTTCAGGATTAAATGAAATACCACATGGAAGGCTCCCGGCACAGTACCTGCCACCCACTAGGCATCAACAGATATAATTTCCCTTCTTCGCTCTTTCCTTCTCTTCCCTTCATCCATTCATTTTACTGTTTTTTCTTACTGTTTGGTAAAATCCTTCACATTATGTATTTTTAAAAAGACTGGAATCTCAGTAGTTTTCCTCTTTTAAAAAAGTCCATTTTTCAAGTCTTAGTATAGTATACAAATAAATATCTGTGACTGCAGAAAATAATTAAGGCACATAATTACATTTCTCTGTAATTATATACAGGGAGTTGGAAGGAGACTATATCGAGTCTACCTGTGTAGGGCATGGTTCATGTGATATCATTTAATACTCCTATCAACTCAAGAAGTAGGTCGTTTCCCCATCTCATTTTATCTCATTAGATGAGGAAACTAATACCCAGCTTAAGTTACCTAAGATCAAACTGTTATCAAGTTGTAAGTTTGGGATTAGAATCCAGATCTCACTTCATAGCTCTCTACTGCAATCCATGGATTTTCAGTCCTGGAGAGAGGAGCGTAGCTTTTGCCTCCTAACTGGAAGGGAGCAGGGCAAGGTGTGGAGTGGGGAAACATGTCTGAATCACCTGGAGGACTTTTTCAAATTACATTCCTGGCACTCTGCTCCCCCCTAATTTTGATACCCCCATCCTGCCATAGTAAGACATAGTTTGGTAATATGTCATATTCTTCAAGTATGTTGAGATAGAAAAAACGATTGAACACTATTGTTCTGTGATATGCTGTCAAGATATGAGATTATTATATAAAATAATTATATCAAATGATGTCTAAACATGGATGTAAAATCTTAAAAATATTTTGACCTTATTTATTTTTCTTTATTGCTCCTAGACAGTTTAGAAGTATTTGAACATTTTTATATGTTCTGTGTATAATATAAGAAGTAAATACTGTAGTATATTTTTTCAGGTTAGACAGCTGTCAATGACAGTAGAATACATTTTTTCTTATTGAAATACATTTTTATTGAAAATGAAGGACTGGTTTATAGTGCTTTTCAATCTAAATTTGATTATATAAAAGAATTAACTAAAGAAAATGAAACCAGGTACAGCTGTTTTGCAAATTTAGTAAAAAGCTGTATTTGAGGGAAAATAAAAAAATGTTAAAACTCTACACTAACCAGTAAGGTACGAGGCAGCTAATTGCTTCCTATCCCTTTCGAAATTACTCAGCCTGAGAAAAGATAGCACATATTGATTTACTGTAAAGTAAATGTTCCTTGTCTCTCCTTCTCTAACACCCAGACACACACACCCACTGCATATACACACACAGCGGTAGTGGCAAAAAACTGCATATCTAACCATTTCCTTCATCAAACTTATGTAATAACAAAATTAGAATGGAATATTTTCTTCCTTTGTAAAAAGAAATAGCATAAAATTATTAAAATGTGCAAAATGAGTGGCAGTGTAGTCACATTCATCACATTGAATGCATGATGTGTTTACTTTTAAGCCAAAAGAAACACAAGTTTTCAAAGGAAAAATAAATATTTCCTGATAATATATCTGTTAATTTATATGCATATATCAATTAATATATTTATATGCATATGTAGTATTAGAAGCAATGTCAAAACTTAGCCTATGTTTGATAATTTCTTTGGAAGTTATTAGGAAGATTATGCAAATTCAAATTGTACTCTCCAGTATGGTCTTTTGTTTTTTTTCGGGAATGATCCACTAATCTAGAGAATGGGAGTTTTATTCATATGTGTTTTAACTCCTGTATAGATTTTGTCCTGCTATTTATGATTTTTCTACAATTGTCTGATTTTTTTTTCAACGTAGACCGAAATGCTAGTTTTGATTGTCCTAAAGCCAAATAAGTAGAATTAATGAGAAGTTAAAAAAAAAAAAACCCAGATCTTATAGAGCAAGCTGCTCTGAAGGATAATCTGTAATTACTCATGTAAAAATATATATTTCAGAATTGTAATAGCATGTGTACGTTTCATTTTTGTCTTACATGAATATAAATTATTATCTATGATTTTTAATTGTGATCTTGTTTGCTTCTGTAGCTCAGATGGTCAGGAATTCATCATCATATAGTATTTTGTGTTTTATCTTGAAAGGATCAGAGCATCTTAATTTGTAGAAGAGAGTATTTGTGACTGGAGTGACTTCGCCTTTGTTACGTTGTGTGTTACTTAATATATCGCTGTGTGTCCTTTTGTTAAAAAATACATATACCCCCAAATATTCCTTTGGAAATAAATTGGCCCTCTCTCTGACGTTAATACTGATTCCGCAAAGCTCTCTGTTTCAGATTTTCATGGAGCTTTGTTGATGGCTCCCTTGTAAACCCCCCAGCACCCCTTTCATCCAGAATTTGGAATGCAGGCTTAGCTGCTCCAGCAAGGCTGCTGTTTACTGGTTATTAACATAGCCACCACTCCTGGGTTAGATAATGGACTCAAAGGTTAAGAGCAGAGGATCTCAACAGCTCCAATCAGCAGAGCTTTTCCAGGGCTAATTACCTCTTTACTGCGCTGACTCTAATGTGACATGTTTATTGCCTTAACTAACAACTCATTAGCTTAGTTGATGTTTTTGTCAATATTAATTCGTTCATTTAAGCCAAGTCAAAGCTTAAACAAAGATGTCCAGACTGAGAAACGGGCAGCAGAGTGACTTTTGTTTGCTCATATGTTTTTTTCCTCCCTTCCTCAACTTCAATAAAATAAATGTGTGGAAAGGAAACATTTAGAATGCTTGTATTGAGAATGTTGATATTTGTCCATTTGCCAGCATGTAAAACAATTCTGAATTTATTTCTCCTATGTTTTCTCCAGTTTCCATATCACAGCTTACTTAATATTTAGTGTCTACTAAGGGCAACTATTTCTAGTCTTGGCCATATATCTGTAAAGGGTTAACATTCAGCAGTTCCTTATTCCAGTTGAATGTTTTACTGTAGTTATTAGAAAAGAGATCAAGTAATTTTTGCTATGATTTTAATCTCTGCTAAACTGCCAATAAAATTACTTTGAGATTTATCTTGTAGTGATAGCTAACTTGCTTAATTAGCCTGTGTGAATTATTTAAACAGAGGAGGCGATTATGAAGTTATCATGAAACATTTCAGTTATTTGCCTTACTTTTGGTTAACATTAATTGTATTTCTTGGAGAATGTTATTATTTTGATTTTATGTATTGTTTAATAATAATTAAATTCTAAAAGCCCTAGACTAGTACAAATGGGTAAAGTAACTGAGCATGAGCCTTTGACCGAGTAGTTAAGCAATTACTCTGGAGAGGTACATCAGCATCTTCAGAACCCTGTAATCCATGGGCAAGGTCCCTCTCACAGGATGCTTAATGGTGTGCAGATAACCAGAAAGGGTTCAGATGCATTCCTGTGGAAATTAGACATGAGTGAAGCTGCATTGTTAGGGGAATTTTGTCTCTGGAAAGGTCAGTCTCTGCTTTGAAGGCCAGAGACTCCTGCTGATTAGTTGGTTCCTGGAAGTGATCAGGCCCAGAGAAGGCTTATAGAACCTAGGTATAGAACATGGAACGCTACATTATTAATTTTGAGTGAGAAAGACATGTCACATAAACCAGAGATACTCATATTTATTTCATCCATCATTCTATATCTATAGAAGGTTATATGGACACCAAATTATTATCAGTAGTCGTAAGAAATCACTGTCACAGGAAATAAAATATTCTGAATAAATGTATACATTCTATACTAAATACTGTGACTATGTTTACCTTCCCTGCTTTCTCAGCTACCGTTCTTTCTTGAATCTGCTTCAGCCAGGCTTTTCTGCCTTTCACTCTACTGAAACCTTTTCAGTAAGGTTACCAGTGACCAAGGGTTACCAAACCCAATAAGCAATTCGCAGCCTTGTCTCTATCTCTTGGTAGCATATGATAATTGCAGCTATATTGAAACTTGAAACTTTCTTCACTTGGTTTCTGTGACATTGTCTTCTCCTGTTCTCCCACCTCATTAACTGCTTGTCCTCAGTCTTGATGTTCCTCCTCTTTCCAACCTCTGAACGTTCTTCTGTATCTACACCCATTCTTGGGTATCACATCTAGTCCCCTGGCTTCAGTGCCATCTGTACATGGATGGTTTCCAAATTTTTAATTCTAGCCCTGATTTCTACACCAGTCTCTAGACTCATACATCCAGTGGCTTCTCTGAAATCTACCTTCACATGTTTGGTATGTATCTCAAGTTTGAAATGTCCAAAACGAAAATTTGGATTACTACTCCTACTTCAAAAACAAACAACCTCCTTCTCTCCTATTATTACTCATTTTAGTAAATGTCACCATCCATCCACCTAGTTGTTTATGCCCAAATTCTTGGAATCAGTTTTGCTTCTCTTTATGTCATGCATCCACATCCAATCCCTTAATGAGTCCTGTCTGCTCTATCTTTAAAAAAAT